GCCGGTCGCCGAGCCCGCGGCCATCTCCCCGCCCGCCGTGGGAGGAGGGGGCCGCCGGGCGACGGGTCCGAGCGGCCGAGGAGAGCAGACCAAACTTTTATCTACGGAACACGCCCTGACTTTATCGGAAGCCGCCTCCCGCGCGGCGCAGGAATAACCCGCGGCGTAAAGGGCGGCAGGGGCTCGGGCGCGGGGGCGCGGGGCTGCCCGGGGGCCTCGAGGACTGGTCCGCGTGCTGCTGGCTGCCTCCGCGGTGAAGGACAAGAAATCAGGGAGTCCGAGATTCAGGCTACTCCCCCTCCAACTCTGCTAAAGGGCAAACAAGCCCTGAGTGTTTGGGGGAGTCCACGCGTGCGGGCGTTTGCGCGCCTCTGCCGAAGTGCAGGGAATCCGGCCCCAAAGTTCGACGCACGCACCCGAGACCGGACCCGAGGGTCTGAAAGCATCAAATCTCCGGACCGTCTTCGTCGTCCCGGAGGAAGGGTCACCTTCGCCCTGTCGCTCGTGGCGCAGGTGGCCGCATCGTGCCGCCGCGCTCGCTCCCCACGCGCGTCCGTGCGGGGGTTTTATAGCCAAGCCGCGCTGCTCACGTGCTCCTCGCCGCGTGGCGGCGGAACCTCACGGGGAGCGGATCTCCACGGGGAGCCCTCCCGAGGCCTCTCAGGCTCCTGGGGGTCCTTCCCGCCCTCCCGCCGAGGCGCAGCAGCGGGCGGGAGCGGGAGACCAGCGTGGCATTCCCTGGCTGTTCCGCTGGCCCGGAGGTGCCCGGGCCCGGCGGGCGAGTGCGGGTTCCCCCGAGCGCCGCCCTGCGCAAAGTCTCGTAAAGTGCAGGTGGCCGAGGATTGGGGCGGGGGTGCGAGAAGCCAGAGTTGGCTTTGAGCTTCTTGTTTGCGCTTCAGCCGCTTTTCCAAGTCGGTGCAAAGCGTGGGTGGGCTGCACCTGATGCTGATGCAGGGCGGCCAGAGCGAACGCGAGACTGTGCTGCCTACGGTCGGGGCGCGAAGTGGACGGTGTGGGGATCCGGATAACGTCCGGGGTGGGGTGAAATGCAGAGGGACCCAGAAGTACAATTGCTGTCTCCGGCCGCACTCCACTTGGAAATACGGCATAAACCAGGACAGGAAGGAGTTTTCATTCTGATACTCTTAGAATAAAAGTGTGGTTGTGTTGTGGAGTGGCGGGGAGGGAGACGGAGTATTTGGAGCTTTAATTGGCTGTGGGTCTCCAAATCCCCCATTGTGAGCTTTTGGGCAGGTACACCTGTCCTTTAGGGAGAAGTAGCGTTTCCAAATCTTCGAGAGCGGAGAGAGGGTGGATGGGCGCAGAGTAAGGGCAGCTCAGCTGGAAGTTTTATTCTCTGACCTGGGGGCTCCTATCCTAGGCAGTCCGTGTGGTCCTCTGGGCCTGCACTTCCTCTGGATCCTGCTGGTGGCAGTGAAGCCCTACGCACTGCTGTTTATTTTGTTACCCCATCCCACCCCCCACGCACACATTCTGGGGTAACCTCTTTGGAAGAAATGGGTCTCTAGGTTTTTAAGGCTGCCTCACTATTCCTGAGGACCACGGGGCAGACAGCAGTTCCTACTTTGTGATAATTTGATGCAACCCATAAAGAAGCTCTGGACATACCCACGTATTTACTCAGCTCAATTGATACCGTTTAGGAAATTATTTCCTTCCTCTCCAGACTCATTATTCCCAGGCGGGAACGTTCTCTAGCAGAAAGGAGTGTCTGAAAGATACTCTGATGTCCCAACAGGTATGGACTGAGAGCTGTGGAGCAGATCATGAATATACAGTGTCTAATACAGTTTCATCCTTTAGGAATATACAGTGTCTATTACTGGAGAAAGAGCCAGGTCCACTTTATGCCTGCTCTCAATATTGTTTATTAAAGATTGATAAAATGTCGCCAGATTGCCAAGGATCTGCCTGCCTTCCTTTCTTTCCTCCCTTCTTGTTTCTCACTCCGTAGAAATGGGATTAGTATCTGTGTCTTCTGACCTTTGTTTCAGATTTCAGTGTTGCATTTTCTTTCGGTGACTTTGGGATTTTTGGCAGCCTCTGTAACCTAATTAACTGTTCTAGACAGGCCGAAGTTTAGCATCTGCCAGTGTCACTGCAGACCAAGGCTGCAGAGAATTTCACATTATTTGGGGGTTCATGCTTTAAAAGGCTCTCTGTACAACCAGCCTTGTCTCATGTAGAGCAGCCTGCTGTCTTTGCAGTAAGGCAACCCGATCGCCCACCTCCCCCCTACACACACACACACACACACACACACACACACACACACACACACACACACACATTCCCTACATTCTTCCACCCTATCTCTTGGTAGCATCTGATATCCTAGAACCAGAGAATTATTCCTGAGCATGTAAATAGAAGGGAGGAGTCACCCCTGGTGGTAACACTTTTTGGTGAATTAATTCAATTTATTTTCCAATGCGTGTGTGTGTGTGTGTGTGTGTGTGTGTGTGTGTGTGTGTGTGTGTGTGTGTATGAAGAGGCAGAGAGCATAATTATGGAAGGGAGATTGATTTTGGAGACTACTTTGTTTTTATGTCCATTTAAAACACTTTATAAACATTTTCTCCTCATTGGTAAATATTGGAATTATTACATTTTGCACATGAAAATCCAAGGCTCAAAAAAGTGAAATGACTTGTCCAAGGTTATAAAACCAGTTAAAGGTAGAGCCAAGATCTAGGTTTTGTGGACCCTGTCCCAGTATGCTCTTTGCAACATACCACCTCTATTTTCTAATTTTCTAATTTTGTCCAGGTCAGTCTGTGGCTGACATCTTTAGTAAACTGGCCAATGGATGCTCAGGCATGTGTTCATAGGTGTGGAAGGCTGGTTATCACTTCTGCTTTCTAAATAGGAAAGAAGGTCAATGTCCAGATGATCACACGGGACTAGACTCTTCCAACCTTTAGGATGGTGATCAGATGACAAAGACTTCCAAATTCCTTGTTTCTTTCTGGTCCTGCTCTTTACTCATGAGACCACAGGCAAATTCATGTCATCACAGAAGTGGGCTGGAGAATTTAAAGCATTGAGAGATAGGAAGACAAAGGTATGAAAAACTGGCCTGGGACCAAGCTTGTGATCAAAAACAGGCATTCCCTTCTCTGTCCTCTCACCTGCCACCAGTTAGCAGGCTGGAGGACCACAGAGAGGTGTCCTATCTCTGTCGTTTTAGGCCTTTATAAAATAGGACTACTCAAAGGTAAAATTTCCTCTAGATTCATTCTGCTCATAGAGCTAGGAGCCTCTGATAGTGGAATCCAATACCTTTTGATATATAGGTGATGACCCTCCCACAAATTGTAATTTTATTAAACAGAAGGAAGGAAAACTAATATCTAATGATACTGATATAAGAGCATGCTAGACCCTATATTAGGCTTTTAATAGGTATCTCATTTAATCCCACTGCATCCAGGGTCTGGGTCCAGCACCTCTGTCTCCCAGTGTGATGTCTCTTCTTAGACACTGCTGTCCCTTGTATACATATATTACCTTTTGTGGTATATGTGCTCTTTGCATGTTCTGAAGCCCATGGTAAGCACCTCCCTCCCTTCACTGTGATGGCTGGTGGTTTTCATCCAGCTGCATGGCTGGGTCACATGTCCAGTTCACCCTGCTTAGATATTGGGGATCATTGATGGTAAAGCACACCCAGAACCCTGTGACTGACCGTGACCCCGCAGAAGGAATACCTATCTTACAACCTGTATCTGCCTTCATGTACACTCACACTTGTGTACATCAAATATCCCAGCCAGGAAACTTCTGGATTACTGGTCTACGTTTGTACAATTATGGATAGAAGTAGAAATACAGCCCCTAGTGTTATGGAGAAGACCAAATTAACACACCATATCACTCTAAGTATCTCAGGGATTCTAGCCAATGAGCCAGCGATGTGGTGTTTATGTTTCCCAAATTTGAAGAAGAGTATCAGGCTTAAAATTACATTCATGCTTACAGTGCCTGATTTGGGTGATAAGTATTTGAATCTGCTTTGCTAATGTGAGAAATAGATTATACAGGGTCACTCAAGCCAGCACTCCATTTCCCAAAGTTCCAGCTGAGGATACAAACTAGATCATCAAGAACCCACTTACTTGTTTACAAAATAGAAATTTTTAGTCTATGTGTGAATTTGTCAGCATAACAATTTGCCAACAGAGATTGTTGATTTAGAGGTGTCTGAAGCATGATGGAATTCACAGCAGCTCAGTTTTAAATAAAGTTACACCTTTCTGAAAGCGCTATCTGATGTTTTCATGACTCAGAAATTCTAACTTTATATCCACCTCCTTCCAAATCTGTTTAATATATTTTTTGATCAGTCTCCCTCTTACAACTTTCTAAACATATTGCTATGATAGCACTATGCATACCACACAAAGTAGAATTAAGTAAGCACGTTTTAAAATAGATTTGTAGATTATTTTATATTTCTAAGTGAAATGTTTTATTTTCACTTTGTTTGCTGATATTTTTCCCCCCTTCATGACAATCTCAAATACAGTACCTTTAAAAACGCTCTTCTCTCTTGTTCCATCATCTGACAATTATTTGGAGAATTGCTTTTCACAAAGCACTTTCATACATGTTAGCTCATTTTGATTCTAACCCTGTGAGGTAGGTTCTGTATTAATTATACTACCCTCCCACCTTTTTTTAAATGTGAAAAAGCGGCTCAGATTTTAGTAGCAGATCCAAGTTCACTCAGTTGCTAGATGGCAGAGCCAATATCAACACTAGATCTCTGAACACCAAGACATAGGTCAATTATAATATACCACATGACTGCCAACACATAACAAGATCCATTTGGCCAAATTGATAAACATCATTTGCATCTCTCCATGAAATTTATACTGGTTGTTAGGCAAACCAAATAACATAGGGTATAAAACACTCCACTTGGATGGCGATGTTAGCTACATTGCCTATTTACATTGACTTCTATATTTCTATTGAGCAGAAACCAGATTTCACATCTTTTAATTAATTCCATTTGCAGCTCGAGTTTGTAGATGAGTACAAGAGGCTCAGAGAAGTTCAATGACTTGTCCAAATTCGGATAGCTAATGATAGAGTCTGTATGTGTTATTCCCCCTACAAACTCATGTGGAAACCTGATCCCCAATGTGGCAGTGTTGGGAGCTGTTTGAGTCATGTGGGTGGATCCCTCATGAATGGATCAATGCTCTCCCTGGGGGGTGGGAGTAGTGAGTGAGTTCTTTCTCTATTAGTTCCTGTGAGAGCTGGTTGTTTAAAAGACCCTGACACCTTCCCTCTCTCTCTCTTGCTTCCTCTTGCCATGTGATCTGCTCGTACCTGCTGGTGGCCTGCCCCTTTCTGCCATGAGTAGAAGCAGCCTGGGGCATTTGCCACGTGTGCTGTCCCAGAATCATGAGCCAAATAAACCTCTGTTCTTTATAAATTACCCAGTCTCAGGTGTTCTGTTACAGCAACACAAAACAGACTAAAACAGCTAGTAAGTGGCAAAGCTAGAATGTGAACCAAATTTATTTCACCATTATACTAGATGAGTTTGTTCACCGTGTAACACTACATCCACATGAATAAGATAAGAAAATCTTTCCTTTCCAGTACTCCATACTGATGTGACTCAAATATCTCAAATACATTGCCCAGGTCAATTATTGTTTTTCTTTTTTCATTGTTAAATGCTTGTATTGAGCTAGAATAGTGTTAAGCTTGAATACACTCTGAATTTACTTTTATTTCCAAAGTTCTTTAATAGGACAAAGTGTTTTTCTTAGATATTTTCCTTGTAATAATTGAATGTAGATGATAATTCTATAAGTCTCTCTAAACACAATTATACGGTTTCTATTTTCTGAAATAACATAATGGCTTTGCCATTTTTCTTTTTTTCCCACTCTTAACATTCTGGTTTATATTTGCAATCTAATAGGGTTTATTTCTTCACAAAATAATGGCCCCCATCACAGTTCTTTAGGCTGAATTAGTTATAGACTTGTGCTGTGCATGTTTTTGGGTCACCCTTCATAAATGTAAATTATCCTATTGTCTATATTTAGAAAACCCTATGCAG